CCTTCAATCTGCCGCCAATGTGTTTATATTATATTAATTCCACAGCCAACTTTCTCTTTTCCACTTTGTTCCAATCACCGTCGCTCTCTTCTCTTTCGTGTGTATACATGTATCCGGTTATGCTACATGTATTTCCTACCTTACTATATGGGTTACTACATGGCCACATGGCGGCACCCTATTGGAGGGTCGGATGTGGGGATAAGTTTAGCCCATGTCTGTCTACCATTATTTTAAAACTGTTTTTTTCTAAAACTCGTTTTCATTTACATAGTCTCACAATAAAGTGTTTTGCATGTAAACCCAATTTTAATTAAAAAATTTATGTCTACCATGACACAAATTTGAACAATCTATTCATAAGTTTAAAAACTTTGAAATGTGATGTGTTTAGTCTTCAAAAGTCTCCAACCCATCCATCAAGGGCCTGAAAATTTACAAATCGAAAATATAATGAGGCAACTCCTCAGCAAAATTATTTTTAAAAAATGCATATTCCAGTGGCATAGCCATATGAGGAAAAAAAAAAAAAAAAACTTCGTTCAAATTGCATGTAATCAAATTATATCATTGCCACTCACAAGAACAAAGTACTCGCGAAGTTCACAACCGATGATCAATTCCATTAGAATACATATCGTTTTTTTTAACCATAAACCTCCATACAAAATCTTGAATTGTTCAATAAAACATTAAAGCTGCTAAATATATAACAAAATGCATAAAAAATCACAGCTCTCCATTTTGTAAATTATATTATCATGTAACATGTTAACGTGGTTAAGTAATATTACTCAGGGTGTGTTTGGCTCCCATTATTGGGAGAAAAATAGAGTAATGAATAATATTTTTTGGAGAATGTGTGGTTGAAATTTAAAGTAACTTTATTGGTTTGTGGGTAAAATATTTTATTAAAGGATGAACTGCATTCTTGGCGACTCCCACCTGCCCTAGGCCTTGGTGAATGAGGTAAATCGCAGGTTATGTCTCAAAGGGTACATGGTGGAAGCCTATTTGTACACTTGCACTTATTCAAGAGCCAAATCCATATTTCAGGATTCGAACACTTGACGCGACAAATGTGTGGTGGAGAATCTCACTGTAGTAAATAATTTTTTGAAATAATGATAGACAAACATGGGCTCAGTATAATTTCTCAAGAAGCAATCGAGATTGGGTGGTAGAAGGGGAGTGACTATAATTTAAAAAATAAAAATATCGTATCTTAACTTTGAGTCACGATTGTGTAGTTGAGTCAAATTATCATAAAAATGGGAATATAAAAACATCTGTCTCTATTTTATGTTAATGTTTGTAGTTGATGGACAAGAGTATTTTTTTGTCAATTTGGTCAAGTTGTCTAGTTGTATAGGATTTTCTTTATATAATATTGTTGGAGGTCCCATCCCCTGATAATTCTTTCGATTTAATATACTAGGATAGATCGGTGACAATGTCAAAATCCTTGGTTAGGTTTAGGTGGTCCTCAAATTAGAGATGACGCAAAAATTTCGTTATACCATGATACTCATGGAATCCCGTCAAATTAGATACACCGGATGAGGATGGGACCCGATGGATGACGGAAATGGTGTCTCGATCTGGATCCGATTTGTTGCCATCTCTACTCAAAATTCTTGCCTCAGTTACAAAAAAAATAGAAGAAAAGAAAAGTAAAAGGGGAAAAAAAGGACCTATCTCTATGGATTTATGTTTGTACAATTACCAAATTCGAGCCCGATATTATTATTTATTATAACTAAGTCCCTGTGTCAGGATAGTAGTTATCTTTTTACCGGTGTGACCCACGAAAGAATGCGTAAGAGGAAAACTGAAAATACTATAAAATATCATCTTCCTACTCTATGTATCTAGTGCTAATTATGTCAATTTCCTTAAAATTGACAAAGGAAAAATCCAGATAGGAGTAGTCCTGACAATCACTTCAGGCCAAACCCTTGTAGCAGTCCATAATTTAGATGGATTTGGGTTTTTAATTTCCATGAATTCATGTACTACCCAATCCAAACTTATAAGGGAGACACTAAAAGGCCTACTTCAAAAATTTAAGCGCGTCGGCAATCACTAAACTTTCGCTCCAACTATAATTAGAACATTGACTTCAATTAGAAGCAATTGGTAAGTTGAGCTCAATCAAAATATTTTGATATGGACATTAATACTAACGTCGGTACACATGGCGATCCATGCGAACTTGGATTAATTATATAGATCGTCACCAACTTTTACCTCAATTGTAATTAGATTATTAAACTTCATTATGTCTCGATTTATTAAACCACTCGCACAACGATAACCTAAAGCTCCAAGCATTGTTTTTTGTTAGGTTTTAAAGTTGTTGACAATCTTTTTATAAAACTATTGTTATAAAAGAGTTTTTAAAAGTCAAAGTGTCAAGTGGTTAGTTAGAAATCCTAAACTTTGAGTATGGAATGAGAAGGAAAAGGTCGCCCCAATTTTGCTAGTCTATCGCCCAACTGATGCTTGAGCGGTAAAAACAGAAGTTCCGTCGCCCGCTTGTCGCCTAAATTTCGCTCGAGTGAGACATCGTCGCTCGCTTGTCGTTGAGCTATTGCTCGAGCAACAGTGTATTCCGAGGAAACCTAATTAGTGTTTTTCAAGGTTTTTATTCGATCAAACTACCCAGAATCTCTTCATTATATATATGGATGCCACACCATTCTAAAAGTACAAGTTGAACATTGAGAGAAACAAGTGTTTACATCCTCCATATCATTTCTAGAGTTCAACCTTCATATTGATTTGATTGTGGCTTTGAAAAACATCATCCTCACATAAATCAAACACCAAAATATATACTACCACAACATGTGTCAGTGTTCTGAAGATCAAGAAAGGTGACCAGAGTTTCTGGTTGTTGGAGAACAGGGTGTTTTTATCAGGGGCGGAACCAGGAAGGAAGTTCAGTGAAAAAATCTGAAAACCTAAAAAAACCTGGACAAAAAAAAAACTTAAAAAATCTAAAAATCCGAAGAAAAATCTGAAAATTGAGTGAGGGTGGCGGCCCCCACTGGGCCTCATGCAGGTCCGCCGTTGGTTCTTATTAATCTACAGATAATTTTAGTTGCAATTTTCTATTAGAACTAATAAAATTTCGTGAAAATTTTCATTTAAAGTATTGAATTCTAAAAAAAAAAAATTAAACAGGGTTGGGCGGGGCACCCATTACCCGTTCTCGCCACGAGGCAAAGATACCCGCCCCGTCCCCGACCCAAATACGCGATGACGCGGTGCTCCGCGGGTATGAGATTTGTCGGGTTTTTTTTTTTTTTTTGCCATCTCTATATGTATAAGTTGGGTCGAACTTTGTTATTTCATTTTTCATCATGGAAAAAAAACATTGACCTAGTTGTTTGTCAATTGAAGTTTAGTAACCTACTTTGTTGATGTAAAAGTTTTGCGATCGACAATACAATAAAATTCATCATATTGTCACGGGTGCAGATGTTAGTTTTGACAGCCATCTCAGCAAAATTGGAGTTAAGTGATTCGATTGCTGTCAATTAAAGTTTAGTGATCTGATTGCAGGTAGTTTAAACCAATTTTAAGAAAAGTTTCAAGAGATAAATCCCAAATAAAGGATAAGCCTGCCTAATTTTCTATTTTCTGTTCACATAATAGGAAGTATAAAGCCCCAAAACACTGGCTGTTCCATTCTATATTGTGGCTGAGAACACACCGATCCTGTTCACTGTTACCTAATCGAATTTCCTATTATGCGACTCCTATTATCGTGTAGTGATGAAAATAAGCTCATTTTTTAAAACTTTTTTTCTTCAAATCTATTTTTAATAAGAGATTCGCAACTTTTTATGATTTTTTCAATCATATATTTAATCAATTTTTATTAAAACTTACTAAAAATCATCTTATTTTTAGTAATATCGTACTGGGATTAAAACTTTTCACCCTAACAAATATGATAAAAAGTGAGATTTTTGAGTTGTAAAATAAATTTTGAGCATATGCATTAATGCCAATTGGAAATAAATCAAACCTCCGCGATAATTTAAGCAATCACACGAAGCTTCACGGCATCTTCACGAAGATTCTACCTTTCTTTTTTGAGTAATGCTACTTGCAGTCGCTCACTGCAGCAGTCGCCCTATGTGACACACACATGGCATGTAATTATTTGATGCATTAATGTGGTAGTTTTTGACGACATTTAATGCATCAAACACATACTTAACATGTGTGTGCCACATATGACAACTGCTGCAGTGAGCGACTGCAAGTAGCATTATTATTCTTTTTTTTTTTTTTCCTTTTTTTGAACGGATTTTATTTGCAGATTATTTCTGTTTTTCTATATAAACCTCTAAAACAGGCGCTGTTTTATTCACAACTGAGTTTAATTCTCCAATGGCAGCAAGAATTGCAAAGTCCTTCAAGCTCCGTTTTGTTTCAAAACCCAA